GGTTAAAACAGAGATAAACTCGAAGAAACCTGGATTGGAGAGCTCGAACCTAACGCTCTCTCCTCGTGGAAAGAACTCTCGCTGGACCAGACTTCCTCGCAGAGAGGTCTCTGGGGAAGTATCATACCTTAAATGCGGAAGACATCAATTCTGTAGGTGTCCAACCGTGGGGAGAGGAAAGGGTCACAAGGGGTCGGAACGTGAACATCCACAAAGAACAGAAGAGCAAGCACAGCTCATCGTGTTTCACCCATTTTATCCCTTGGTTCAGCAAAGTATCAATCCCCTAATTTTTTATCCTTTGTTCTCCAATTTCTTTTGTAGGATTACCACTAGTTTTCCTCCTAAAAGTACCTATTTCTAATCCTTCTAATATAACTTTTCACCTCACCACCCCATATCACCAAATCTTGTTGCCTTTTATTATCTAAAAGTCCTACGGTTCTTTTCCAACCCACCATTCCAACTATTGTAACTTTTATCTTATCTGCTATTCATCTGATTGCCCAGCACTCTATCTAGTAGGCATCCTGTCCTTGTTTAAGTGAACCCTCCCACTCACCTCTCACTCATGAAACTTATCATACTTTTCACCACCTCTTCCCTAAAACGTCCACCCCCTTCCCTTGCGAAAAGAAATTTATCTTAATTCTCAAGTCTTAGCCTCAATTATGTCCTTGACCATCTTAGCTCTGCAGGGTTTTTTTGGCTGCGCAGCATGTGTGATCTTAGTTTCCTGACCAGGATCAAACCTGTGCCCCCTGCAGTGGAAGTGCAGAGTCCTAACCACTGAACCGCCAGGGAATTCCCAGCTCTGCAGTTTTTATCTTTCCTTTCCCTTACCCTGAGGCATCCTTCAACAGTACAGCCAGGTCATAAAATCCCTTTATATCTCCAAATACACATGCAAAAGGTGTGTGTGTGTGCGCGCGCGCGCGCGCGCGTGTGTGTGTGTGTGTGTGTGTGTGTGTGTCAGGGGGTGATGGCTAAAGATGAACACTAAGCCTATCTGGCCTAGGAAAAATAATCTCCCCTTGATCCACCCATATTCAGCTTGTTCTAGGACCGTACAAGAACAAAACTGACCCCAGGTGACAGAAGACCTCTAATCTGTACTGGACGATGTTACAAGCGAGGATTCAGCTACTTGCAGGTAGACAAAGAGAAGGGTTTAGAGACTTAGGTATGAATTAAAGGTTAACACTTGAGTAGTCATCTTCTACTGAAGAGCATGACTCTACCACTGAAAAAGACTGGACTGCAAAAATGGGGAACAAAGCAAACATTCCTACAGTGAACTTCAATTTTTAGACAGAAATTTTTCAAGCCTAGAAGAACCATTAAAAATTTTCAAGCAATTGATGTCCTATACAGTAAAAGAATCTTAAGCTTTGACTTCTTATTCCTCTAGACCAGGGTTTGGCAAAATATGGCCCACAGGTCAAATCAGGTGCAGTGCCTGTTTTGGTATGTCCCATGAACTAAGAAGAAGAATGGCTTTTACATTTTTGGATGGCTGAAAAATAATCAAAAGAAGACTATTTTGTGATGTGAAAATTATATTAATATATTAATTCAAATTTCAGTGTCCATAAAAAAATTTTACTGGCTCATAGCCATGCTCATTCACCTACGTATTATCTATGGATTCATTTCACTTGCACTGCAACAGCAGAGTTAAATAGTTGTAACAGGGACCATATGGCCTGGAAAGCCTAAAATAGTTGCTGTCTGGCCCTTTACAGAAAAAGTGTGCTGACCCCTGCTCTGAACAAGCAGTGTCTGATAGAACTTTTTGCAATGATGGAAATATTCTATTCTTGAGCTGTCCAATTCAGAAGTCACTAGTTATATGTAGTTATGTGAACACCTGAAATATGGTACTGTGACTGAAGAACTGAATCTTAATTTCACTTAATTTAAATAATCACATGTGTCTAGTGGCTACTATATTAGACAGCACAGCTCTAGACGCTCCTCAAATCTCATATATTGACATTTTTGACCCCTTGTCCCAACATCTCACTCCCTTCCTGTGACACATCTACACATTTTCAGTTGCCCTCTCTGCCCCACCTTATCTACCTGACCTCAAGTCAGGGTACAATATTTACTAGGCTTTCTTTCTAGACTCTTCATTGTCACAACAGAAATCTAATCAGTTTACCAGGTTTCACCGCATGAATTAACCCACATTATGTGCACACACATAAATGGACACAAATTTACACAAGTTTCTTTGTGTCAGAGGATGGCACTGTGGCTATGTTCTTTCTTCTCTGCATGAGAGAATTAGAAAGCCCTCCACATGCTAGATTCCTTGATGCTGCTGGAGCCTGTGATATGGAACACCTCCCTCCAAACACATTCACAGAAGCTGAGAACAGCGGATGTGCACTTGCTATTTGAATCTCAAGGAAAAAAAATCCTTCATCACAGGACTTTCTTTCCTGCCCTCCGAGGCCTAATAAACTGAAGTTAGCTGATTTATCTAGTTTAATAGATGCTTGCTTTTTTACTGGCCTTGTCTAACTGGGCAAGAGAACAACCCCAATACTGTCTCTATCTTGGCTAGGAGCTCTAGTAAAAGCATTAAAAAAAAAAAAAAACTTACCAAACGAAATGAAATCCACATAAATGGACTTCAGTAGAGACAGTAGTTAAAATGGAAAGAGATTAGGGTTATAACTCATAAAAAGCCATAACTTTGTAATTATTTGTAAAATCAATCTTTATAGTCAATTTTTTATACCTACTCCCTAGGAAAAAACGGGTTTCTGTAAACTTCCAGCTTAAAAAGAAAAAAAGGGACACCTAGTTTTCTTTCTCCAGATTAGCTATAGCAAGCAAACACCACCCCACCCCACACCCCACCCCTACTCCATTCCAAACATCTATCTGCAAGGCCAAAGCCTCCTAAAAATCCTGGCAGAGAAAGACTCCAGTTTTATATATATCCTACTTTGAGCTTATATAATGGAGACTGTGTCCTGCCTAGAAAAACAAAAACGCTGAATCCTTTAGCCACTATACAAATTGAGAGCCAATGAACCCAACTATCCAAAGGAGGGTACAGATATTTAGGCTGTAGAAGTAAACCAGCTCAGAAATGTGGACCTTCCCTCAGGCCAAGCTGTCCCAGAGTTACAGGGTCAGTGCAAAGTGCTGTAAAGTACTGAAAGGCTACTCCTGGGCGAGTTTGTACTCGGGCTGCTAAGATTTTCCACTAGGCTTTAAATTATGCTATTCATCACTGAGCAACTGACGGCCATCTACCCCCAAGTCTCTCCCACACTTCCTCCCGGGTGTCTCCACAAATAAAAGAGAGACCTTATACCACCACCACGTGAACTGAAGAGAGTCTTTCACAGTCTAACCATGAAAAGGAGAAGTTTCCAAGTTACTCTGCCTTTACTCATGTGGCTCCAGCTGCATATTTTGGTTGCTGAGGTGGGTTTCCCATAAACTTGTAAAGTTCTCGTAAACTTTCTTATCACGGCACACAAAATGGTTGCGTAACCTGAACTCTTGCATCTCCTGATGTTTTTCTTTAGGCATGCACACACAATCTATCCAGGTGGAAAAATCAATCCATACTCCTCTGTGTTCAGCCTGTCTGTCGTTCAAATAAAAAGGCAGAAAGATAAACTTTTTTTTTTTTTTTTTTTTTGCTCCTTAGGTTCTTCACCTCCTATCTTTCAATTTTATTTTGGTATTAAGAAAACCAGACAATTCCAGCACAGAATTCAAATTGCTACTGCTTGGTAAACTATTAACTGCATAGTGAACCCAGTGTGGCTTCATTAATAGTACTAGGGTCTGCAGAAAGCCAGAGAGAGACTTTTTTCCCCCCTAAAGAACTGCCATTGGCGTCCTTTCCAACTTTCTCTACAGAAGTTGAACAGAAAAAAAAAAAAAAAAAGAATACAACATGCCTTCATCACTAGAACAAGAATTGGGTGGGTTTTGCCTGGGAATCCAGAGTGATCAGGCCCCCACAAAACCAATGCCCGGAGCTCTGCAACAAGCAGGGTTCACAGTTGAGTGAGCATCAATGCATAATGAGTGGAGGCATTTCAATGCAAATAAATGCTGAATATGAAGGATTAAAGAAAGGGGAAATTAATCTTTTTCATAACACAGGGCACTTTTTTCTCTCCCTTGCGCTCTCTTTTTTAAGTCATGCACACAACTGCTGGAGGGAATCCAACTTCCCCAGTGTGGTAGTGCTGCTTTATAAAAAGCAGAACATACACATTTAAGACCGTGAATTTCCTGAGGATGCCAGCAACTGAGATTCTGACAGCTCTTCTGAACAGCCTCAGAAAAAAAGTGCTTCACTAAGTGGGACCAGAATGACTAGTAAAAATCTCATTTCAAACCAACCTCCTATTTTTCCAAAGCTCATAGCTTCTTGGGGTATGGATGGCTTAAAGGGTTTGGTTTCAGCATTTTGGGATATTTGGATGCATTTACTGAAAGGACGTTATTTTTGTTTGTTTCTAATTCTCCATCCAAGTGATACTTTTGCAATACCAACAAAATAAACAGGGCGGTTTCATGCTGCTTTAGCAGGTGGCTCTATCTCATCCCAGTCTGATCCTCTCATGTCCTAATGTCTCAAACCAAAGAACAAAGTGGCAGCACCTCTTCAGGTTATCCCCCCACCCCACCCCCCACCAAAATCGGCCAGCGAAGGTTACTCAGCTGAATACTATTCACTTGAAGAGATGTTGGACTAGAGCAGCAAAGTTGATTAAAAACCTCTCTGTCCAATCACACGTTTCTATTAAACACAATTCCTCAAACATCCTAATACTCTACCAGGTTATCACTTTGAAAAAAAAAAAAAAACTTTAAAATTCAAGTGGTCCCTTAAAATACTGTTAACCTAGGTTAAGAATTTTCCTAACTAAAACAAATCCAAGCCTCAGAGAGGAAAATAATTTCCAACGTGTTCCTTTTTCTTCTGTATCATTCTGAGAAAAATGTCAAAGATCTAGAATTTTTAAAATAAGTCTTTATAAATAATGTATCCAAAGATTTTTGACCCACTACATAAAGTAAGAATCCCACTCTTTAAGAAAAATATACAGATTTTGATGAGTTTAAATTCTGAGAGGTTCAAGCCTGATGCCAAGCCTTTAGATGTCTACTGCTTCAATTCCAAAGGACCAGTGGATAGCAATTTTAGTACACAAAACTCCACTATGCTGTATAGTTCCTTTTTTCCTGGGTCAGACAGCTTTATTCTGCTTCATTAACCCCTTCTTTGCTCCTTGATGGATCTTGGAATCCAGTTTCCCTGTAAGGGAGAAAAAGAAGCCTCATTATTTATTTTTTATATTTGCAATGCAAATCTTTCATGGCCTCCCAGGTCTTCTGGTTACTGTGCTTCTGTCACATTCAATTATCTTGCTTCAGGACTCAGACACTTTCAAACTTCAGAGTTTCATTCTGTAAGAATGAGGAAGCAATGGGAACACTGTATAGGGACACACAAATGTACGTACGTACACAGACACAATGAGTATTCACCTAAAAATCTAAGAAGTTAATATTTCTAATTTTGTAGTTACTAGAAAAGAAACATTGCATTTTCCAGAGTGCCTGATGCTAAGGCAAGTTTTTAAAGAATACACACATAATGATAAAGGAAGACATTTCACACAGTGGGAAACCCATTCCTCTGACCTGTTAACTGGCTGAGCATAATGCATGTACCTCCCTCACAGTGAGAAAAGCAGTTCAACTCACTCCTTTGCTGCCTCAGACTTAATAGGGGGAGTGACCTGAAACAGTGGAGTAGAATCAATATGAATGCTTTACTGACAAAGGGCCCCTATCACCAGTTAAGAAGGGCAAAGGTCATAGGCTGTATGACTCGCCTAAGTGTTAAAGTTAGAAAACAAGCAACCTTCCTGTCCCAGGTGACCCTAATGAGAGGTACTTCATGGATGTGGTCTCCGACCTCTGACTTCTCAGATCTACCAGGATAAAGTTGGGTTCAGCGGTAGCTGCCGCCTTAGGAAATATCCATCTCATGAAGAAAAACTAACAGAGTTCCTGTCTGCCTGGCCTGAGAACAGAGCTTGCAGGTTGCTTTCTCCCACAAAAAGTCTTATTTAAGTCAATAGAGATGCTGATGCTGGAAACAGAAATAGTTTAGTTCAGCCTTGGCACTAAATAAACAAACAAACAAAAACAAAACAGCTGGGTGTACTACAGGCCTACACCCACAACCACTGCCCCTTGTATGTTGTCATTTTCATTTGTTGCAGTAATCAGGTATAAGAGAGAAAGCACTGGACACAAAGCCAGGAAACCCAGGTTCCAGTCCTCCTTTGTCTGATACCAACTAGATGAATGACTTGGGGCAAGTCATTAGATCTCTCTGGACTTCAATATTCTCATTTGTCCAACTAAGGTAAGAATACATGTCCGGACTACTGCACAAGGAGAGTGTGAAAAAAATTACTTCAATCTAACACGTTTCCCTGTTTTCTTAATTTTTTTCTTCTTCCTCATCTTTCCAGGGCGACATCTGCCTCTGGAATAACATTACTTCCTTCTCTGGGCTTCCTTAGAAACCATCACTAAGTGATATCCTAAATGATGTCCACAACAGTCACAATGATGTTGACTTTAATTTGGGCTTTAGAGCACAGAGGTCTCCTAGAGATTTAGGAGTTCTTTCATCCCCCAGGCTGTCTTGCTGAAAATCCAAACATGTGCCAGCAACCTGGCAAAGGGCCCTGTTACGAGGCAAGTTTGCCGTTGTATCCCTAAGGCTACCAAATGGCAGGTGCTCAATAAATGAATTAAACAAAGAAAAGCAGACACCACAAATTTCAAAACCTTTACTTTATAGGAACTACTAAGTAACCAAAAATAGCAGATATCAGATAAACATAAAAGAGTACTCATTGTAAAGCTGGTGGTACCCAGAGGTACAGAGAAGTATTGCGTCTCATTAAGCTTTTTAGGACAAGCTAGGACACAATTTAGAATTCCATCTAGGACCACAGACTTCTAGTTCTCTGTACTGAATAAGTTAGAAGACCCAGGTCCCAGTTTTGGTCCTAAGACTACCTATCTGTATAACCTTGAGGAAGTCACCTAGTTACTCTTGTCCTCAACTTTTTCAATGCTATGAGGAAACATGGACTACACAGTACTGAAGGCCCTTTGCAGCTCTGTGATACTCTGCCCTAAAAATGAAATGTAAATTGGAATACTTTGTTTCTGAGGCAATGTGATAAAGTGAGAAGAGCTGGAAACCTACAGGTAGAAAGACCTGAGCAAAATATAATTTCTGTAAACCTGTTCACTCAGCTATAAAATGAAAGGAAGAAAAAATTCCTACTAACTTACAAAGTTGTTGAGAGGATTATAGTTAATGCTAAGTGTTTTTCTATATACTAAGCACTGTACCAAGTATTTTACATATACTGAATCATTTAATCAAATAATTAATTGAAATAATATAGATCAAAGGGACTTCTCTGGTGACACAGTGGTTAAGAATCCACCTGCCGGGCTTCCCTGGTGGCGCAGTGGTTGAGAGTCCGCCTGCCGATGCAGGGGACACCGGTTCGTGCCCGGGTCCGGGAAGATCCCACATGCCGTGGAGCAGCTGGGCCCGTGAGCCACGGCCGCTGAGCCTGCACGTCCGGAGCCTGTGCTCCGCAATGGGAGAGGCCACGACAGTGAGAGGCCCGCGTACCGGAAAAAAAAAAAAAAAAAAGAATCCACCTGCCAATGCAGGGGACATGGGTTCGAGCCCTGGTCCAGGAAGATCCCACATGCTGCAGAGCTACTAAACCCGTGCGCCACAACTACTGAGCCTGTGCTCTAGAGCCCAATAGCCACAACTACTAAGCCCACGTGCCACAACTACTGAGCCCGTGCACCTAGACTCCGTGCTCCACAGCAAGAGAAGCCACCACAATGAGAAGCCTGCACACCACAACGAAGAGTAGCCCCCACTCGCCGCAACTAGAGAAAGCCTGTGCACAGCAATGAAGACCCAACGCAGACAAAAATAAATAAATAAATAAAATTTATTTAAAAATATATACATTAAAGTGCTTCATGAGTTCAAAGTTCTCTGAAAAATTAACAGTAGTCGTGTTATTTATGCTAAGACTTGGGAGTTGTGTTTCTTAGTTATGGTCTCAGTTTTACTTTTACTTTACCATATTTACCAGATAACTCTAGGCAAGACTTTTAACTATATTTATTTCAGGCTCCCCAAAGCTTTACTGGATAAGAATATTCCAAATATAATTTTCATAAAACTCCAGTCTGACTGTGAAAGCCCTCACATGAGACCAGCTCAGGTAAGATCAACCCATTGGAGCAGAGCACTCAATGGTAGGCAAATTAATCTCTGGCTTCAATGATGATGTCATAAAATGGAAAACTGATGGGAGGAAGGAGATACAGAGGACGAAGGATTTCCAGGGTACTCCCAGGGATTCAGAAAGTCTTTCATCCCCTAGACTAACCTAAGAAAACCATACATGTGCCAGCAATCTGTGAGCTCCTTACAACTAAAAACTTCTTTGCATCCCTAATATCTACCATAGTGACTGCCAATAGTAGCAGTTGGTTTAGCTGGGCAATGAAGGCCAGGGACTGGGGCTCCTTGCATGAAGAAGCAGTTATTGTGGATGCCCTCTGAACTCTGAGTTCTACTTTAGCCTGTTTTTTTAAGACTTGGGATCTGGACAGTTAACTACAGTAATATACAGTATACTCTCTTAAAAGCAGAGAGATAATGCTTAGTTTCTGTATTTCCCCAATATTTTTACATTTAGTACATACAGCATTTCAGTGTTAAACCACATCCTCAATCATGGTGCCTAAAAGAAAATCAAATGCATGTGCAGCAGATGGAGGAGAAGTTAAAAGGGAAAAAACTATTTGCCATCAATCGATATAACTCTCATAGGGATTTTCACATGCTTTGCATAAGATATAAGGCAGAATTTGCATGAGTTTATAAAGCATGTAGTTCATTTAAAGTAAAAAAATTACCTTCATCTCTTTGAGCATTCAACCTACATATCCTACGATACTTAACTTTTTTGCATTTCTTAATTTGAGCAGACACACAGCCAAGTGATTTCATATTGCACATTGTTTTCTGAATTATTTCAACTTCAAGAAGCGCAATTATCCTCAGGTCAAGCAAGCTCAAGTTTACATGTCCAAAAACATAAAAAAAAAATATGCCTTTAATTTAAAGCAAATATATACACGTGATACAACATGTAAATGAGTTATATTGTAGACAGTTATTTGCAAGTCAGAAGTTTGGAACTTAGAATAAATTTCCCATAGAACTAATCTATGAAAAGTGGCTAGGGGCTTCCCTGGTGGCGCAGTGGATAAGAATCTGCCTGCCAATGCAGGGGACATGGGTTCAGGCCCTGGTCTGAGAAAATTCCACATGCCGCGGAGCAACTAAGCCCGTGTGCCACAACTACTGAGCCTGCACTCTAGAGCCTGCGAGCCACAACTACTGAGCCTGCGTATCACAACTACTGGAGCCCATGCAATACAACAAGAGAAGCCACCGCAATGAGAAGCCCGTGCACTGCAACGAAGAGTAGCCCCTGCTCACTGCAACTAGAGAAAGCCCGCACACAGCAACGAAGACCCAATGCAGCCAAAAATAAATAAATTAATAAATTAATTAAAAATTAAAAAAACCAAAAGAAAAGTGGTCAGTTTCCTAAGCCATCCCACAAGAAAAAAATATTTAAGGCACAGAGCTGTAACTGAAGTAGAGTATTAATATTATTAATACCATGGAACTTAACCACTTCATGTAACAATATTCTAGAAGAAAATGTGAAGCATTCCAAATTAAGAGCCAAGTATAGGAACTCCCTTGTGGTGCAGTGGTTAAGAATCACCTGCCAATGCAGGGGACACGGGTGTGATCCCTGGTCTGGGAAGATCCCACATGTCGTGGAGCAACTGAGTCCGTGCACCACAACTACTATGCCTGTGCTCTAAAGCCCATGAGCCACAACTACTGAGCCCACGTGCTGCAACTACTGAAGCCCGTATGCCTAGAGCCTGTGCTCCGCAACAAGAGAAGCCACCGCAATGAGAAACCTACACACCGCAACAAAGACTAGTCCCCACTTGCTCCAAGTAGAGAAAGCCTGCGTGCAGCAACGGAGACCCAACACAGCCCTAAATAAATAAATTTATTAAAAAAAAAAAAAAAAGAGCCAAGTATGTATTTTTCCCTATGGAAGTGGGATTAAAGAATTTTCCAACTGTAAA